ACGCAGGGAAGGAAGAAACCTCTGAATCACACTTCGGGCATGGGGGAAGGCTTCCTGGAAGAGGGGGCGCTTGCCCTGCGTTGTGAAGCATGCTTGTGGGGAGCTGCAGGTGGCTCCACCTGTCTGGAGCAAAAGGTGGGGGGTGGACAGTGGTGGGAGATGTGGCCAGAAGGACGTCACAAAGACCTCGTGCGCAGAGCTGAGGAGTGTGAGCCTTCCAAGGGTGCTTGCCTCTCGTGGCAGATCCCCGGTTTCCTCAGCCTTAACCTCTTACCCTCTCTAGGTTTCCTTCCTTGTTTTGGTGACCACTGGAGGGTTCAAGGCAGAGAGTGACCTGAAGAGAACTGGAAAGCCCTGTGAGGCAACATCCGGCTGAACTGGAAGGAGCGAGAACAATGAGGAGGCAGCTGTGGGATGGAAGTGAGAAGCCAGGAGAGACTACAGCAGGGTGGTGGCAGTGAGAAGGGACAGGAGGGAAGACTGTAAGGAAAGAAGCATCTGTGACACTGAGAGTGAGTGAAGGGAGATCTGGGGAATCCTCAGTCTTCAGGCTTGGCTCACTGGGAGCTAGTGGTGTGCTTCATTGACAGAGAGAACTCCAGAGAAGTAGACCTTGGCACAGGTCTTTGGATGATGGGACAGAAGTTGAGTTGTAAGTTGTAGGGATAAGACCCCACAGACTCTACAAGTATGAGAGACATTAGGCGCAAAAAGAAGGCCAGGGAATGGTCAAACAAGACTAGGGTGTGGGGAATAGGTCCTCTGACCACACAGACAATTTCTCTGAGGTGACACCCTAATGGACTTTGGAGGACATAGCTCGGCTGAAGAGGCATCCCTGAGGTTCCAGGGTTGAAGTCTTGGGTGTCCATCACAGCACCGACAGTATAAACTCTAGGACAAGTTGACCACACTTAGAGACATTGTCTATGGGCCCCAGTGAAGCAGCTGGAGCTCTGTTAAATTTGATTCCATTGTTTATTTTTAGGATTTTTTTTAAGTTCAAAAAAATGGTTGGCTGGGCGCTGTGGCTCACGCCTGTAATCCCAACACTTTGGGAGGCTGAGGCAGGCTCTCAAAAGGTCAGGAGGTGGAGACCATCCTGGCTAATACGGTGAAACCCTGTCTCTACAACGAAATACAAAAAATTAGCCGGGCATGGTAGCACGCACCTATAGTCCCATAGTCTCAGTTACTCGGTAGGCTGAGGCAGGAGAATCACTTGAACCTGGGAGGCGGAGGTTGCAATGAGCTGAGATCGCGCCACTGCACTCCAGCCTAGGTGACAGAGCAAGACTCCATCTCAAAAAAAACAAAAGAAAAAGAAAATTAGTTATACATAGTTCAAACAATAACATAACCATGTATAAAACATATCAGTTGTCTACCCCCCTTTCCTGGGCTCTGAAAGCAACTACTTCCAACTCTTCTCAATTATTTTGGTACTTACCACCATAACTATAAGTGCAATGGGTATATTGACACTTCCAGACTTTTTCTGTGATAAGCATTTACATGCCATAGGCTTTTCAATATGGCAGACAAGTATCACACAATGGGAGTCTGGATTCCCTCCCCTCCAGGGTCTGCTCAGAGATTTTCCAAGTTTGTCCTTGAAGGGAAAGTGCTCCAGGGAATGCGCTTCTGCCAAAACCACAGGGAAGAAGACCAGCTCTCCTTGTTTTCAGTTTTTGGTTTTTGTTTCCACTTTTGATGGAGACAGGGCCTAGCTATGTTCCCCAGCCTGGTCTCGAACTCCTGAGCTCAAGCAATCCACCAGCCTCGGCATCCCAAAGGGCTGGGATTACAGGTGTGAGCCACCGTGCCCAGCCCCATTCTCCTTGTTTAACTGTTTACCCCACCCTCATCTCAACCCTGCACAGGTGCCCACTTCCCACTCCCCTATCCTGCTAACAGAGTTATATCATAGCTTTGGATACATTGACTTCCAGTGTTCACTTTATTAGGATTGTGTTCATGCTATGCAAATCAAATCACTTAAGGTATATCGGTGTATCATGATTATTTTTTCCTTTTCCTCCATAGCTTTGTTTATTCCACTGGAGTTAATAATGCTTCCTTTCCCCCATTTACTTAGTTATATTTATGGTACTTATCATTAGCCCAACCCCTAATCTTCCCCCAATTGTGTAAACCTCTCAATATTTTCAAACATGATTCTTTGAGTGTGACCTTCTTGAAGAAATCTTTCTTGGAGTCTTCGAAGCAGCTTGAGCCTGAGTATGCTGCTTTCTTCTTTTTTTTGCGGCGGGGACAAAGTCTCACTCTTGTCCCCTAGGCTGGAGTGCAATGGTGCGATCTTGGCTCACTGCAACCTCTGCCTCCCAGGTTCAAGCGATTCTCCTGCCTCAGCCCACCGAGTAGCTGGGATTACAGGTGCCTGCCACCATGCCTGGCACATTTTTGTATTTTTAGTAGAGATGGGGTTTCACCATGTTGGCCAGGCCCGTCTAGAACTCCTGACCTCAGGTGTTCCACCTGCCTCGGCATCCCAAAGTGCTGGGATTACAGGTGTGAGCCACTGCACCCGGCCGAGTACGCTGCTTTCTATGCCTGGTAGATAGCTGTCTACCCAGGAGTTTCCTTTAGCTGGGTGATTCCCATTGCTTGCCTCTCGTGGTGGATTCCTGGTTTCCTCAGCCTTAACATCTTACCCTCTCTAGGTTTCCTTCCTTGTTTTGGTGGAGCACATCCTTCAGCAGCTTCCTGAGAGAGAAGATAAGGCAGTATCATTTTTTGTTTCATTCTCTTCTCAGACTGATTTTTTGGTAGTTTGGATATAGCATTCTAGGTAAGAAATGATTTTCCTTCAGAATGCATTGTTCCATCGATTTCCAGTTTCCAGGCTTGAGGCAACTGTGTTGACATTTTGCACCTTTTAACTTTTTCTGCTTTTTAAAAATCTCTAAAATCCTATTGGATCTCCTCTTTGTCTCCAGTTTTGTAAAATTCCATAGTGATGTGCAGTACAACTCTATAGACATGTATTGAGAGTGTGTGTTACATAGTTTATCTCACTAAACACTCCAAGATATACAAAGATATCCACAAGTCCTGAGACAGCTAGAAATCTGAGGGAAGTGTGGGAGATAAGGCAAACAGAATATTGATGAGCATGTAGTATTACACATACAAATTATGCATATAAGACTTGTAAGGGCAACGTTTTCACAGATTCCAAGTGTTGGTATTTTTAAGAAAGAATAATGCAGGCTCCTAACCTGATTCATTCTGTTAGAAATTTGGCCTTCTCGTGTACTCAACAAACTCCTTGCCTCTCATGTCTATAGCTCTGTTCGGCTAGTAGTAAGCTATCAATAAGAGGGTGATGTTTTGACTGTGAATCCAGGAGTTGCTGATAGCCTCCAGTGGGCTGACTTAACTACCATTCTGCAGGAGGCCACACAAGCTTGAGTTCAATGCCTGAGGTTCGTTCCCTCAAGCTTCCTAAGGTGTCAGTTGGAATAGAGCCAGGAACCAGAAACCAGATCCCCCTTTCAGGAAGCAATCCCTAAAATGTATTTCTCCTTACCCTTCAAGGTGTACCTATATGTACTGATAGATAGAACATCATAAAGATAGATATGCTACATAGTAAGCTGCTCAATACATGTTTTTTCAATGGAAAGAATACGGAATATTTCTATGTAGTATCTACTCAATAGAGCTGACCCCAACACCCCATCCCCCACATTAGGAATCAGCCAAGAGTCATCCCTACCCTGGTGGCTCTCAGTGTATCATTATTATTATTGAAAACAGTTTATGCATATTAGCTTATTTAATTCTCATAGCAATTCTGAGGCAGATTTGTTTTGTTTTGTTTTGTTTTTGAGACAGAGTTGCGCTCTGTCTTTCAGGCTGAAATGCAGTGGTGCCATCTCGGCTCACTGCAACCTCTGCCTCCTAGGTTCAAGCGATTCTCCTGCCTCAGCCTCCCAAGTAGCTGAGATTACAAGCGTATGCCACCACGCCTGGTTAATTTTTGTATTTTTAGTAGAGACAGGGTTTCACCATGTTGGCCAGGGTGGTCTTGAACTCCTGACCTCAAGTGATCCACCCACCTCGGCATCCCAAAGTGCTGGGATTACAAGTGTGAGCCACCGTGCCTGACTGGAGGCAGGTATTTTTAATCCTTATTTGTTAGATTCAGAAACTGAAGAATAGAGAGGTCAAGTGACTTGCTCAAGATCCCAAAGGTAAGAATGACAAAACAGAGCTTCAAGTCTAAGCAGACCCAACCCAGAGCTCACAACAGATCCAGCTCGTTCCACCACAAAAGCAGTTCCACATCTCACTTGAATTCCAGGTTAGACCCCTTCGAATCTCTCACCAAGCCGAAGGGCTGCCCCAGAAGAGCTCATGGGAAAGGCCACGTGGAAAGAGCACCCATTTTATTGCTGCTTGTTCTGATGCTATTTCGCTATAGGACGCTGAGTAACACACCTGCCTCTCCAGGCCTCAGTTTCCTTATCTGTAAAATGAAGTTAAGAATATATACTGAAGAGTTTTGGCAGAGGCCCATGATGACCGAGGGAAAAGAAGCAGCGAGAGGTCTCAGAAGGCCTTCTAAGAGAACAGAGTTCTGTGCTCCCTGGAGAATGATGGGAAACACAGGAGGAATAGTGACAACACGAGATGTTAAATTACTGTAGAAATTCTTAGATGAGTCTGAACTCCCTCTTCAAATATTCCAGTATAATCCAAGACTCTATAGTTTCTACCAAAAAGTAGGTGCCTTCAAGCAGGGAGTGATCGTTTGAATCTAGTTCTCTCCTGGGAATCAGTGGTTCTAACTTGGCTGCACATTGGGATGACCAGCGGAGCTTGAGACATGCAGATGTTCAGGTCAGTGGAGCTTGAGACATGCAGATGTTCAGGTCAGTGGAGCTTGAGACATGCAGATGTTCAGGTCAGTGGAAGCTTGAGACATGCAGATGTTCAGCGGTCAAGTGGAGCTTTGAGACATGAGATGTTCAGGGTCAGTGGAGCTTGAGACATGCAGATGTTCAGGTCAGTGGAGCTTGAGACATGCAGATGTTCAGGTCAGTGGAGCTTGAGACATGCAGATGTTCAGGTCCACCCTCGGAGATCTCTATCGGGGGTGTTGCCCGAACACTTGGAATATTAAGAGTTTCTTCATATGATTCTAATGTGCAGACAAAATGCAGAGCCACCTCCCAGAGCTTCAAGTTATTCATTTTCTGGTCTGAAGTTTAACAAAGAAAAAAAAAAAAAAAAAGGAAGCAGTGATGCCCAGTAGCCCTCAAAATTCAACGTGCAAACAAATGAATCTCCTGGGCGTCTTGTTAAAATGCAGCTTTCAATTCAGTGGGTTTAGGTTGGGCCTGGCATCCTTCTTGGTTCTTTTGTTGTTGTTGTTTTGTTTTTTAAGACCTTAACACTGGAGGGGATTCTGCCCTTCTAAAAAGCTCCCACAGGGTGCCCACACTGCTATCCACAGACCGTGCCTGAATAGCTAGGCTACAGTTTGAATGATTATAGACTTGAATGAGAATTATGGCTCTTCTTACCAGCTGGGACCTTCAGGAAGAAGTTATTTCACTTCTTGGAGTCTCGGTTTTCTTATCTATAAAATGCAGGCCAGCAATAGCAACTGTATCACAGAATTCTTGTGATGCATAAATGAGATAGTGCATTCAATTTGTTTAGCACTGTACAACAAATGTTAGCTTTTTGCTAGGATAGCCAGCACTCACGGAATGCTTACTATGTGGCAGGAATTTTCTAAGTGTGTTCATGTATTAACTCATTCAAGTCTCAAAACAACACGGTGAGGTAGGTACTATTATTTCATCATTCCCATTTACAGATGAAGAAACTGAAGCACAGAGAGGTACAGTTCCTTGATCTACAGTGACACCTCGTTGTAGCTAAGCTGCTGTTTGAACTCAGGGAGAATTTGGGCTCCTTACCAGGATCCCTCGCCAAGAATAGGATCAGTGCAGCGAGTCGAGGGTTTGCCCTTTGAAATGGGCTGGGACCGGCAGGTGGCAGACTAGCGCTGCTTGAGGTCAAAGACCGCTTCCAAGACCAAGCCCGGAGCCAGCTCTGCGCTAAGCGTTCCATCACACAACCCCGCGGACAGCTTCTTCAAACTCCCCTTTCCCTCCCCGCCACCCTAGGGTCTTCGCCCAGAATCCATCAGGAAATAATAGCCCCACATAACAGGTTCAAATGTAACCTCCCCAAGACAAAACCACGTCCGCAGGGAAAGAAGCGAGTAAAGCGAGTTTTCTGCAACTCCCCTTTAACCCAGAAGCGCAACCAGCCCGGGAATCTACAAATCTTTCTTTAGTTCAGCAAGGGGCTGGGAGCCTAAGCCAAGGGGAAGAAAGTTAGGGAATTCAATCTCTTGAATTCCCCAGGACACTTAGGTGGCCCCCGGCTTTGGTGCACGCGCGCAGGGCATGCGGACAGGCACTGGGGACGCTCTATTTTGCGGATTACCTCGGAAAGGCGGATATTCTTGCAGGGTCCACTGACAGCGGGTGGCAAATGAATTTGAGGGACAGTGCAAGGGGTGGGTGTTAACCGGGCGGTTTCCATGGCGCCCGGGGCGTGGGGGAGGAATGCATCCCGCAAGCTGTGGCGAAACAACTGCGCTGCCCGGCGGACCGGGCTCGAGAAGGCAAGAGACACCGGGTGGGGGGTGGAGTTGGGGGGGGTGGAGGAAACCAGCCAGGACGGGGGCGGGGCGGTCACGTGTGCCCGACGGGGCGAGGCCCCAAGCTGGCCCCGGAGAGGACTCTGCGGGCGAAGTGGCTGCGCAAGGAGAGAACTTTTCCTGCACAAGGAACGCCTTGTGGGGAGACCCAAGGCAGGAGCGGTCCGGAGCCGGCTGCAGCGTGTGCGGCCGGCCTTGGGACAACGATCGCCGCGGGTGGGAACAGACAGCCCCAAGCAAAAGTGGGAGGAGGAGCTTGGGGGTGAGCACAGGAAGCCCCACTTGAGGCTTTTACGCAGCCTTGAGTCTCTGTTTCTTCTGGAATAGGCAAGTGTCCTTTCAACTCTAAGAGACCAGCGGAAGCCACTATCCCTTAAGACTGCCGGAGTCCTCACCACTTCTCCAGGATTCCAGAGGAGACTGTGGTCATGGTGAATGAAGGTCCCAACCAGGAAGAGCGCGATGACACCCCTGCGCCGGAGTCCGCACTCCAAGCGGACCCCAGCGTCTCGGTCCATCCCAGCGTCTCCATCAACCCCAGCGTCTCTGTCCACCCCAGCAGTTCGGCGCACCCCAGTGCCTTAGCCCAACCCAGTGGCTTGGCTCACCCCTGTAGCTCGGGCCCTGAGGACCTCAGCGTGATCAAGGTGAGCAGGCGCCGTTGGGCCGTGGTCCTGGTGTTTAGCTGCTACTCCATGTGCAACGCCTTTCAGTGGATCCAGTACGGCTCCATCAATAACATCTTCATGCACTTCTACGGTGTCAGTGCCTTTGCCATCGACTGGCTGTCCATGTGCTACATGCTGACCTACATCCCTCTTCTCCTGCCGGTGGCTTGGCTGCTGGAGAAGTTCGGCCTCCGCACCATTGCCCTCACCGGCTCGGCTCTCAACTGCCTGGGGGCCTGGGTGAAGCTGGGCAGCCTGAAGCCACACCTCTTTCCAGTCACTGTGGTGGGCCAGGTCATCTGCTCCGTGGCCCAGGTTTTCATCCTGGGCATGCCCTCCCGCATCGCTTCTGTCTGGTTTGGGGCTAATGAGGTTTCAACAGCCTGCTCGGTGGCTGTCTTTGGCAATCAGGTAGGTAGAAGAGTTTGTGAATGTTCCCAGGGGTGTATGTTAGATTGCACCTAACTATTGGGTATGGGAGGCTGTAATTTGCTGATTGTCCAACAGTGTTTGTGACTCTGGGTGACAGTGACTGGGTGTGACAGGCAGTGATTGTGATGCTGTAAGAGAGGCGGGAAACAAAAGCAGGGGGACCTGCTCTTTCAGCTTTTCATCACAGTTGCTCTTGCCCCAGCCGAAAGCATGCTTCTAGAACATACTATACCTTTGCTGTGTCATTCCTGAACCTGTGTCAGTCCACCAACTTAGACCTGTAACTTCAGGAATGCTCTTCACTCTCTGGCAGCAGCCCCTGGGCATCAGACTATTCTGGTGTCATCAGAACTTGGCAGTGTTTTCAGTTGGACCAACCAGCTTTCCTAGAGTGCAGTATCTCCTCTACTGCATAGAATTGCAAAGCCATGCCTGGTGGTGTTTGGCACTGTTTTTACCTTGTTTTATACACAGCTGAAGCCAGGACAGTGGGAACAGTGCTTTGTGCCAAACTCCTTGCCTGGGATTTGGAGCCAAGTCCAGCAGGATGGAGTAGAAATCTCACTCTGAATTTCCAAGGCCTAGAAAGGGTAGTTCATGTCTTAATCTTTTTCTCTTTCCTTCTTATTGGAAGGAGAAGCTCACATTCTTTGCATCTCAATGTGGTTATGATCCAGAAAGCTGGGCAGGTTGTAAACCTGAATGCCGTCTCCAAATACTCGAAACAAATATTTATAGGAATATTTAAAGCAAACGTCTTTCAGCCAGACCACTGCCTCCCAGTCTCACATCTTCCAAGCACGTACAGTCCTGGCTGTGTATTTAACAAAGGATTGGTAATCCTGTCTCACACGTCCCTGTGAAGAGACCACTGAACAGGCTTTGTGTGAGCAACCAGGCTGTTTATTTCACCTGGGTGCAGGCAGGCTGAGTCTGAAAAAGGAGTCAGCAAAGGGTGGTGGATTATCATTAGTTCTTATAGGTCTTGGGATAGGCAGTGGAGTTAGGAGCAATGTTTTGTGGACAGGGAGTGGATCTCACAAAGTACATTCTCAAGGTTGGGAAGAATTACAAAGAACCTTCTTAAGGGTGGGGGAGATTACAAAGTACATGGATCAGTTAGGGTGGGGCAGAAACAAATTACAATAGCGGAATGTCATCAGTTAAGGCTATTTTCACTTTTGTGGATCTTCAGTTGCTTTAGGCGATCTGGATGTATATATGCAGGTCACAGGGGATATGATGGCTTAGCTTGGGCTCAGAGGCCTGACATTCCTGTCTTCTTATATTAATAAGAAAAGCAAAACAAAATAGTGAAGTGTTGGAGCAGCGAAAAATTTTGGGGGTGGTATGGAGAGATAATGGGCGATGTTTCTCAGGGCTGCTTCGAGTGGGATTAGGGGTGGCATGGGAACCTACAGTGGGAGAGATTCAACTGAAGAAAGGTTTTGGGGTAAAGGGTGATATTGTGGGGTTGTTAGAAGAAACATTGGTTGTATAGAATGATTGGTAATGGCCTGGATATGGTTTTGTATGAATTGAGAAACTAAATGGAAGACACAAGGTCCAAATAAGAGAAGGAGAAAAACAGGTATTTAAAGGACTAAGAATTGGGAAGACCTAGGACATCTAATTAGAGAGTGTCCAAGAGGGTCCAAGGGGGGTTAGCATAATTACTTGTTTGTTTGGCGAGTTTTGGGGCTTTATTCAAGACAGAGTCCTCTTTAAGTTTGAGGCTGAGCTTGGTGAGGTGTGTTTTTAAAAGACCATTAGTGCGTTCTACCTTTCCTGAAGATTGAGGGGTATGAACGTTTCACTGAATACCAACAGCCTGAGAAACTGCTTGGGTGATTCGACTAGTAAAGGTCAGTCCATTATCAGACATTCCTGTCTTCTTATATTAATAAGAAAAGCAAAACAAAATAGTGAAGGGTTGGAGCAGTGAAAAATTTTGGGGGTGGTATGAAGAGACTGTATAGAGGTGGGAAGGCCAAACCTAGGAATTATGTCTGACAGAAGGGAATAAATAACTTCAGTGGCCTTCTCAGACCCTGTGGGAAAGGCCTCTACCCATCTAGTGAAAGTGTCTACCCAGACCAAGAGGTAGTTTAGTTTCCTGACTCAGGGCATGTGACTAAAGTCAATTTGCCAGTCCTGGGTGGGGGCAAATCCCCAAGCTTGATGTGTAGGGAAGGGTGGGGGCCTGAACAATCCCTGAGGAGTAGTAGCATAGCAGATGGAACACTGAGAAGTGATTTCCTTGAGGATAGATTTCCACAATGGAAAGGAAATGAGAGGTTCTAAGAGGCGGGAATGTACATGGAAGAGGTTATGCAAATGACGATAGAATAGAATGGGCCTGTGAGACTGGAAGGAGATATTTTCCTTGGTCCAAGAACCATTTGCCTTGTGTGGGAAGAGATTGATAGGTGGAAGTTTCAGTGTGAGAGTAGGTGGAGTGACCCCTGAGAAGGAGAAAAACTGGCTGTGCATGACAGAAATTGGAATGCTAGCTGCTTCTTTAGCTACCTTATAAGCATAAGTGTTGCCCTGAGCCATGAGATCTGATGCCTTTTGGTGGCCCTTGCGGTGTATGACTCCAGCTTCCTTTGGAAGCAAAGCAGCCTTGATAAGAGTTTTTATTAAAGAGGCATTAATGATGGAGGGCCCTTGCGTAGTGAGGAAACCTCTTTCAGCCTATATAACGGCATGATATGGAAGGCATATTTAGAGTCAGTATAAATATTGATGCGTAGTCCTTTTGCAAGAGTGAGGGCCTGAGTTGAGGCAATGAGTTCGGCTTGCTGAGAGGTAGTGGAGGAGAGCAGGAGGTATATGTGTCAGGTGTGAGGAAGAAAATAGATTTTGGAAGTTATGAGAACTGTAGAGAGTGAGTTGAGCATAGTTTGTGATTTTGAGGGCCTCTAAAAGTACTATGGTGGTGGCAGTGGCCGCTGCACAGAGACATGATGGCCAGCCTAAAACAGTAAGGTCAAGTTGTTCGGACAAAAAGGCTACAGGGCGCAATCCTGCTCTTCTGTAAGAATTTTGACCGCACAGCCCTGTACTTTGGCTGTGTGTAATGAAAAGGGTTGGGATAAGTTAGGGAGAGCTAGTGTGGGGGCAGCTTCTAGGGCTGTTTTTAAGCAACGGAAAGAGCAGTGGTGAAAGGATTTAGGATCTATGGGGTCAGATAGATTTGCTTTTGTGAGTTTATATAACGGTTTAATCAGAGTGGTAACTAGGTATCCAAAGGCAGAAGTACAAAACCATGCCTAGGAAGGAAAGAAGTTGTTGTTTTGTAGAAGGTGTTGGGGTTTGGGAGATTAGCCAGACACGATCAGCAGGAAGAGCACGTTGTTTTCATGAAGAATTATGCCGAGATAGGTAACGGATGAGGAAGAAATTTGGGCTTGACTGAAGTAATGGGGGCTGTCTCTGAAGCCTTGCGGCAGTACAGACCAGGTAAGTTACTGAGGCTGATGGGTGTCAGGGTCAGTCCAAGTGAAAGCGAAGACAGGTTGGGATGAAGGGTGCAAAGAAAGAGTAAAGGAAGCATGTTTGAGATCCAGAACAGAATAATGGGTTATGGAGGGGTTGCGGAGGGAGGCAGTGAGGATAGGAGAGTCTATGGCTTTGGCATCACAGAGTGGATAGCCCAGACAATTTGGTTGATAAGGTGCAGATCCTGAACAAACCTGTAAGGCTTGTCCAGTTTTTGGACAGGTAAAATGGGGGAATTTTAAGGAGAGTTTATAGACTTTAAAAGACCACGCTGGTACAAGCGAGTGATAACAGGCTTTAATCCTTTTAAAGCATGCTGTGGGATGGGATACTGGCATTGAGCGGGGTAAAAGTGATTAGGTTTTAATGGGATAGTAATGGGCGTGTGATTGGTTGCCAGGGAGAGAGTAGAGGAATCCCATACTTGTGGGTTAAGGTGGAGGGATCCGAGAGGAGGACACGAAGGAGGCTTTGAACTGGGTAAAAGGGCGGGAATGAGGTGTGGCTGTAGCCTAGGAATAGTCAGGGAAACAGATAATTTAGTTAAAATGCCTTGACCTAATAAGGGAGCTGGGCAGGTGGGGATAACTAAAAAGGAGTGCATAAAAGAATGTTGTCCAAGCTGGCACCAGAGTTGGGGAGTTTTAAGAGGTTTAGAAGCCTGGCCGTCAATACCCACAACAGTTACAAAGGCAAAGGAAACAGGCCCTTGAAAAGAAGATAATGTGGAGTTGGTAGGCTTGGTATTGATTAAGAAGGGGACGGACGTACCCTCCACTGTAAGAGTTACCTGAAGCTCAGTGTCTGTGATGGTCCAGGGGGCTTC